AAGTGCAGAGCCAGCAACAGAAGGGAGCTTCCCTTCTCACACTCTGAAACTGGTGTCAGCTGCGCTGGGCCTGTTCCCACATGGCCTTTGAGTGTCCTCCAGCCAAAAAAACAGCAAGCTTGCATACTGGACTGGAGTTTCACTCTCTTCCCAAGAAATCTAGTACCCTGTGAATTTCAGAGAAACCCAGCAGCTGCGCTAAAGCTTTCCAAGGCTCTCTTCCAGGCATTACAAAAACAACCAAACCCTCTCTTTAATCCCTATTTTAAAACAAAGACCGTCTTTGACCCACCATCTCACTACTTGGTTGCTTGCACAGTACCCTGTGGTTAATCTTATCACAGCATTAATTCCATTTAAAAATGCTTGGCGGTCACCAAGTCTAGGTTCCTTGCAGGGGTCGGGGTATCTTGTTCACTATTAAATATCCAGCTAAGCACAATGGCTGGAACACCTACACATGTAATAAAATATTTTTGTATAAACAATTTATAAAATACATACAGTTTCTAGAACTTAGCAATATGGTCTTATTCTTAGTGCAACCCTGTGAGTGAATCAGGGCAGAAATTATGATCCCAACCCACCACCAATATCCCAGGCCCAGGAGAGTAAGTGTTTGTTCAATATTATAGAACAAACAGTGGTAAAATCAGGACTAATGCCTGTTTTGCTAACTCCTAAAAGGATGATCTTTTCATCCTATCAAATTCCTTTCTGAGGAAAACTCAAGTTGATTGCTCAAAATTTGAGACCCTCCTCTACCCACAAATTCCTCGCTCAGAGTTGGGGATGTGTAGCCTCTTGCCCAAGTTATGAGTGAACAGGACCCAGTGAGCAAGGATCTAACTTGGAAAGCAGGGAGAGCAAACAGTTGGATGAACGCCACCATCCATAAAACTCCAGATGTTTGGCTCGATGTGCCAACATGTTAAATGTCTCATGTAATTAATTAAGGTAGAAAGATAACAGTTATGCTAGACAACATGTTAATTTCCACCAGCCATCTAACCTTAACCACTCCACATGTATTAATTCATTTCATAATTTCTCACTACACAGGCCTCCTTCTTCACTTTGCATAAATGACAAGGTGCTATGCTTTCCATCCCTTTGGAGATGCACAGGGACCAGCTAGGATTACCCTGGACTGCCAGCTCTGAGGTTAGAATACCCCCAAGCAATTCATGAAAGATTCCTCCTCTTCTTCCCCTAGCGTCAAGTTTGGGGAAAGAACTAGAAGTTTTGCATGAGTCTATAAAATGGCATTGGCTGCAGTGACCACTGTTGCTGCTTATTCCCCAAATCCCATCAAGATGGAGGGAGTGGTAGAAGGAGAGGCTGACCTCGATTCCTCCACTGGGTTGCAGGAGGTGAACCAGCTACAACTTGAATGAAGCCAAAAGATCCAAAGAATAGGACTCGCAGGACAGCTACATCTATCTTCTCCTGAAAAGCATCCCAACCTCACACATCCCTCTCTGGGGTACAATCACACCTTGTGTGTCCCATCCAGAGTTACTGGAAGGTCTGGGAGTCCACTGAACTATTGATCTTAAGCCATTTACTGGCACATTGCTACGTCCACATTGCTGAGCCACAAAATCCATTGCAGAAGCATCTGACCCTCCATATCAGAGGTTCAGATTTTCCAAGCCACGTTGTTAAAATTACTGGGGGCCTTTCCACCTCTAAACATGGCCCTGCCTCAGACTGTGGGTAATGGAAAGGAAATAGCTCTTGCACAACAAAACTAGTCTTACCCATCTTTCTACCCAATAAGCACCATCTCTCCCTGACAAGCCATAGAAAGGAGCACTTTCTCAGCAGGAAGTGGCAGAGCAAGACAGATAGACAAAGATCTAAACCCAGTAGCCAACATTTAATTCAAATAGTGAGGATTTTCTCCACTGCTCGTAAGCCACTGACTTTACCATTATAAACTAAATATTCCCCACGCTCCGATGCTGCTTGCTTCAATTTTTGAAACCTTCAGAATTTTAATTGATAGCCAAAATTTCAACAACTATTGTATCCTCCATCAAAAAAGATTTATCAGTGCTAATCTACATTTTTTCTCTCTCTCTGCCTCTATGGAGCTTTTTAGAAATTGAGCCAAATCTCCTATAATGTCATTAAAGTAAAAGAAAAATAATTTAAACAATGAGTGGAATGATTTTAGAAAAATAGTCTTATTTCACAAAATTTATTCCTTTGAGTACAATAAATATTTTTAAACAAGTATTTGATTCTTAGGGACTGAAGTCACTGTTATAAGACACCCCCCAACAACAAAAAAAAAGTAGAAGGCTAGACTTCAAGTTTAATTATTACCACAGCTGAGCAGCTGGAATGAAATTACTTCCCTGTGCTGTGTGTCCATAATTCAATATGTCAAAGTGGTCTCTGATTTCATTAATGATTTTTTCTCTATTTCTCTTCAGATGTTTAGCCCAAAGGGAAAATTTTAAATCATCCCTTTCCAACTGTACTTTTTCAATATATTCCTTCTGGAAATTAAAGTTTACTTATAGTATATAAAACTTACTCATTCAATAAACACAGCATTGTAAAATGTTCAAGATGACCCCCTATCTCCAAACAAATCTCCTACTTTCCATTAACTGACCAATAACCAATAACAAAAGACCCAGGTTTTAGTTACTTAAAAAAAAAAAACACACAAAGATTTCTGGCATAAAAAACCGTACTTTTTATATTTTAGTTAAAATCAGAACTTGTGAAACCCCTCGGGCTTCTGGAAGAATCCAGAGGATTTAAAGAGCATTTCTTACTGGACCTCCCAGATGCTGGCAAAGTTCTAGGGGATGAAGAGGTGTTAGGAGAAAACAGGCACATATACACACGTGATGTGTGTTAATTCCACGTTAGATTTCTGGTAGAAGACAGCCCTTCTTTACCAAAACTAATATTCACAAAAATAAAATCCCCAGCTCTCTCTGATCTCTGCAAAGTAACCCACTTCTTTTCCTTATCTCAAATCACGGAGGAGACAAACACCATACATTTCCACTAGACTGGCTGAAAACCCTTCTTTATGGATCTTTGCCTTTTTGTTCATAAGTGTATAGCATATGCATACTTATAGATCTGTATACTTTGGAGCACAATGTGAAGACTACTATCGAGTACTATGTACCAGGCATAGTTCTTAATTTTTATATGTATTATTTCACTTAATCTTTATAACCAACCACCCTTAGACCACAGGGCTCAAAAACTGAAGTTGGGAATCATGCTACCCAGCAGTCTAGGGCTACATGACCATCTGAGAACCAGCTCAGACAAAAAAGGCACAGAAAGACATCTATGCGGGAGTGAACCTGGAGTCCCTAGCCCTCAGCCCCTAAGTCATCACAGATACCCAGGGTGGGCTTCCCTCGACTTCTATCAAATTCCATCTCTTTGCCCATACTCCTCCCTTTGCTTTTCCTGTCCTATCCCCACCTCTTTTCCTCCTCTTTGTGCCCACAATGCACTAAGCACTGAACCTTGAACTTCAGGCTTTTAGGCCATGACCATTTCCAACTCAGAGGGCATACAAGGAAGTAAAGCCCACCTAAAGAGCATAGTGTCAGCAATAGCAAATACTCAAGAATCCAACCCCCAAAAAAAACAGGTAAAATAAAAAAGAATGAAAAACATCCCACAAGCCTTCTCATGGACTGGAGCTTCAGAATCAAGCATGTGGCCTCTTCAGTCACCAACAGTAGAAAATAGGCAAGAGAAATGAGGTTTGTGGAAAAGTTTAAGTGACCACGTGACAGATCCATTCTCAGAATGATTCTAACAAAATGTTTTTTACGTATTCTCAATGGAGTACAGGTGGTCACCATGGTATGGGTTAGTGAAAACTCATAGGATGATAATTGGTTTTAGATATGTATAGAGCTAATATTAAGCTGCACACTGTTAAAGAGGAATTACCCATTCTCAAACACTAGCACCTTTAGAGTAGCCACCAACACTGTTGCCAGAAAGTTGTACATCCCAGTAGAACTGGACAAAGACACCATGGAACACTGCAAGCCAAATAAAATGTTAAAAAAAAAAAAAAAAAAACAGATACACAGGAACCACCTTCTTCGGGGTCTTGTTTTGTAGTAGCTCTGTGATGGTTTGGATATGAGGTGTTCCCCAGAAGCTCTTGTGTTAATTCAAGAATGTTTAGAAGTGAAACGATTAGATCCTGAGAGCTGTAATATAATCAGTTCATCCTACATTGAATGGACTGGACGGTAACTGTAGGCAAGTGGGGCATGGCTAGAAGAGGTAGGGAGATGCCCTGGAAGGGTTATTTTTCCTGTGGTCCCTTCCCCCAACTCCTCTGCCACCCGGCCACCCTGAATAGAGCAGCTTCCCTCCACTATACCCTTCCCCCATGATGTACAACCTCATTTTCAGACCAGAGCAATGGAGTCAGCCATCTATGGACTGAAATCTCTGAAGCAACAAGCTCTAAATAACATTTTCCTCCTCCAAGTTGTTCTTGTCAGGTATTTTAGTCACAATGATGCAAAACTGACTGACACACAAACTCACCCCAATCTGAAACAAAATGAAGCAGCCAAAGCCCAGACTGCTTTTCACCTGTTATCATTATCATTCCTGGTTAAAGGACTCACGTATGTCTAGTGCTGTGCCATATAAGAGAGAAGCTGCCTTATCCAGCAACTGACTCCAGAAGGAGCTCACTTAATATTATTTTCCCACTGAATAATTGGGTAGGAAAACAAACAAATGATTACATGATTGTAATACAATGTTTTAATCATATTACAAATACACAGAATGCAGTGACTAAAGAAAAGAAAGTACTTGTGGGGTATGGCTGAGGGGCAGAAAGGTGGAAAGGCTTCTGTTATGGTTTGGACATGAGGTATCCCCAATAAATCTTATGGTAATGCAGGAATGTCCACAGGTAAAGTGACTGGATTGTGAGATCTGTAACCTGATCATCTTAATTTAAATGGACTGACCGGGTGGTAACTGTAGGCAGATGGGGTGTAGCTGGAGTAGGTGGGTCCCTGGGGCATGTCCTGCAAGGTGCTTCTTCCCTGAGCCTTCTTGTTATTCTCTGTTTACTGGCTGCCATGAAGTGAGCTGCTTTCCTCCTCCACGCTCTTCTGAGGAGGTGTGCTGCCTTACCTAGGGCCCAAAGCAGTGGAGTTGACCATCTATGGACTGAGACCTCTAAATTAATTTCTTGATTAATTAATTGATTAATGAGCTCCAAGTTAATTTCTTCTAAGTTATTCCTGTCAGGCACTGTGGTCACAGTGATGAGTAATGCCTTGAATCAAGTGTTGGCAGATGAAGCCACAATCAAGAAACAAGGGGGCAAGGAACTTCTGGCAGAAGTTTGGCAGATTCAAAGTCTTGTTGGTGTGAGGGCATGGGTGATGGGGAGCAGTGCATGCAGAGTGGTAAATGACTCTGGACAGGTTGATAAAAGCCAGATCCAGGAGAGTCCAATGTGCCATGCTTAGGTGTTTAGACCTTGTCCTCTTAGAGAGGGATGACATGGAACACCTGCTATCCCTCCCCTTCCCCACACATCAGACCCTACCAATCACAGCACTTTATTATACTTCACAGCCACTAGCATCACCTGGAATTGGCACCTAAAATGGAATCATTTGCTCTCCCTATTCCAGGTGCTGGGGGCTTTCCAGGGGGTTTTAATAGGTATAACAAAGCTAGACCCTCAACCAGTGCTGACTGATCAAGGAATAAGTGGCAGGCACAGTGATTAGTGAGAAGACCCTGATGACAGTCCCATGCACTACAAATCCAAGAGCTGCACCTCCACACAAAGTCAGATTGAGTGGAACCCCAAGCTTTTGCCTCATCGCTGTCAGAGGCCACACGGTGGTAAAGGAGCACATACAGAACTCTTCCAACAAGAGAACCCAGGACAAGCTGGAGATTGTACTCAGAGGAGAGGAGACCCAGGAGAAAGAACCAAAGCCAGAGGGAAGCAGGCAGTCCAAAGGGAAAAACCTGTGCAAACACAGTGACCGAGAGATCCCAGCAGCACGGCAGCACCTCTCCAGCAGGATGCCTTGTCAACCCCCTGCAACATTTGGACTCAATGAAAGACTCAGCAAAAGGCAAGTAGTCACAGTTTCTATGACTTAGGAGAAGATAAGACTTTCATGTGCACTCTTATGTTAAAACAGACACACCACGATGTACACACCACTGTATGACAAAATTGGGGAGCATTCCTACCTATGATGTGAGCAAGAAACCTCTCTCTCGAGTTTGAGGAGTAGTAAGACCTGGGTATAGTAAGAAGGGTACTGGATGGAACAGGAGATCATCTTTTTTCAGGCCTCAGTTTCCCTGACTGAAAAATAAGAGAACTGAAAAGGTGATATCTTCTAACAACCATGCTGACTCAGAACTCTCTCCGCAGAAGAAAAGAGCAGGGCCATTTGGGAGAGTTCTTGCAATACTACAGTATAGAGAGCTAAATCCTTCCGTGTGCAAGTCGGTGAGCACAGCAGCTCACATCCCAGCCAGGAACTTGGTAATATGATTGAGAAAACTGAAAACACATTGTGAGTGAAGGCCTGGGGAGCATCGAGCATCCAGCTTTAAGATGCTGACTGTTTTTGAAATAAAACTTTAAAACGTGCCATAAAAAGAAACTATTCCTCTGGGGAAAGAGAGTCTAAAGTGTCTTTGATTGTAACGATGGGAAAGACTTTCATCTGCACTCTTTACGAGGTTAATTGTAACTCTCCCCGAAGCTCAGAAACCCTTTTCTCAATCTTGTGGTTGTAATCTTACACTCTGCGTGATAAACCTTCCTTTTGCAACAGGCACATTCCAAAATAAAACTTAGGGCTCTGAAAGCAGTCAAATGAGCAGAAGTTGATAAGAAGAAACTTTGCTAGTGCGCATGCACACACAGCCTGCTGTGCCCAACCACACCAAGTCAAAGTCTTCAAGCTCCATCAGCAAGGAGCCTACCAACCCCAAACCTTAGCAAATGTGAAGCACTTAGCACCATGCCTGGCCCAGGGGACACCCTCCATAGTGCATAACTGTTGTCATGCTAGCCTTTCTCTTCATCATTGCTGATGGATTACAACTATCAGTATATAGCTGTCACTGTGCACAAGTTATGAGGTCACCTTCACGGACTATCTTACCACAGAAACCCCTATGGAATAGTGCTGTGGTTGCCTTCCTTTACAAACTGGCATTAAAAAATGTTACCATAAATTTATTGTCTAACAGTGGGAACCCCCATCATGTTGTTTTTCACAATTCCTTTATCTACAAAACCTCAACTTAAATCTGTGGTTTTTACTTTCCTCCCAGATGCCAATAGATGCTATACTTTTCTGCCTCCCCTACCACAGGCTCACGAAGAATAATTGTATAACCATTTATTGATCATTTACCACATGCCAGGCTTGGTGATAATGTCCTTTTTAAAAAATTATTTTATCTTCACCTCAACCCCATGGGATGGTGCTATTATTCTCCTCTGCATGTGCAGTGTCTAAGGCTCAGAGAGGTTAATTTATCTAAGACCACTCATTTGGCCAATGAGATACATTGCAGGCAAGGAGTGGAACGTGAACTCGATCCATGTGTTTCTGAATCTGATATCCATGCTTATGTTTTCCACTAGATTGTAATTACTAAGTAAAGGACTCAACTTGGAATCTCTCCAATGAACTTCAGGGAATCCATGAATGCCTTTGAATTTCATGTAAAATGGTATGTGTATGTGTACATCTTTCTTAAAGAAAGTCCAAAACTTTTACCATATTTTCAAAGAAATCTAGAATTCTTTTTTTTTTTAAGCTTGAGAATGATTATTCTAGACTTTGGCAGGACTCGACCTTACATCCTGTATTTTGTACCACTGCTGCACTCAACCAAGAGCCATCCAATTGACCCAATTCTCTTTTCTAGTCCTTTCTTGGATCTACCCTCTCCACAGCCCACTGTAGATGTAGTGAGAGTGATGAATATTTTAAAGCTGTTTTTCATCCACATACATGAGAGAGCTCCATTAGCAAAGTTCCTAGGCCAGCTTTTCACATCCACTCACACTATGAAAAAGCAAGCAGAACTCTGTCTTGCCTGCTCACCCCAAAAAACCAAACATCTGCTTGCCCGGCCTAAAGAGCTCACCTGCTGAGGAGAGGCCAGCAAGGAACAGCATAGCACATCTGGCCCTTCCTGCATGAGCTCCAGCCGTTTTCAGGATCAGCTGTCAAGTAATCTTCTGCCTTATAAACAATCTTGCATTTTAATAAGAGCCATTGTACAAGGTGAGTTGTTTAAAGAAAGTTGGTTTCAGTCTGCAGCTGCACTTGCAGATGCCCCCCTTCCTCACTCAACCATGTACAACAGCTATGAAATAAGTGCCCGTTTTTGCCTTTGGGGCATGCCTACTGTGTGCCAGGCACTGTTGTAGATGTTTACATCCATCATCCACAACCTGCACAAGCGCTTAGGCAGATATCCTCCACAGAGAGGTTAAGTAATTGATCAGGAGCCAAGATCTGACCCCATGTTAGGACACAAAACTTTTCCACAGCTTCATCTCTTCATGTTTCCACCCCTCATGGAACTGAAGTTACTTGCTTTTAAAGTCTTCTCAAATTGGAAAATAAGAAAGACTTTCAGGTCTTAGCATCTTGAGTAGGTACAAAGGATATCATTTCAGAGCACTCTACTAAAAACAAAACAAAACAAAAAAAGAATTAGCCCCCATGAGTCTGAGGGTTTGAGCCAAAAGTTGTCAGCAACACAGCTTTATGAATGAGCTGAGCAGCCTCACAGCATGAAAATAACTTAAATACCCAATTTCCAAGCCTCCATGTAAATTAAAAAATCAAGGTGCTGTGCAGAGTGCATCAGAGAACACAAATCACAAGTAGAACCTCCATTAGACCACCCAAGGGGGAAAAAAAAGGATTCTTTTTCTTCTCACTGTTTACAAATAGAGATAAGAAATCTGACAATATTATATTCTTAAAAGTATTCTAGATGTTCATTAAAAGACACTTTCAAATGCCTACTATTCATTACATTCAGCAAATATGGATTCAAGGCACCAGGCTAGACATGATGAAGAGATCCAAGAGTATGATAGTCTTGTCCTGCTTCCTTAGTCACGCAATAATTGGAATAGAATCATATACAAATTTCTTAATTTACTACTAAAGGGAGAGGAAGAAATCATCTCACACTAAGTGAACCTCAAAAGATGGAAACAAGGACCCAGTGGTTTTCATGTGAGGGGAAAGTGAATGGTGTTTGATACATTCAGACTTCATGAGGAAATGGCACCTGAACTGAGAGTGGGTGGGCTCTTGCATGGGAATGAAGAGTGGACAGAGGTGAAGAGAGACTGTGAACAAAGAGAAGGATCCAAGCAAAGACAGGGAGAAGAAGTCACAGAGCACTTGATGGGGTAATCCCTCCTCTGGCCCCAATCCTTGGATTGGAGTATGCACAAGGCTCAGAATTACAAAGGGAAAGGCTGACTTCTCCACCTAATTAGGCAAGGGCAATAGCAAGCTGATTAAGGTCGTGGACTGGGAGTGACCAACCAGCTTTATGCTCCAGGAAGACCATTCTAGCAACAGTGTATGAACTGGAGAAATAAAAGTCTAGACTCAGAGGCTAATTACAACTGTCTGGTTGTGAGATGACAAAAGCCTACACAGGGGTATATGCAGGAGAGAAAGTGAAGTGTTCACTCAAGATCTTTTACAGTGATTGAGTGATAGAACAGAGAAATGAAGAGCCTGGTGACATTACTCTCTGAAATGGGGTGGTTAGAAAGGAAGGATTCAGGTTTTAAAACATTCTGATTCATTCAAGTGTTTAGGACTAACAAATTAGAATAATTAGAAGGCTAAATATACATAGAGGCTGAAAAAATGAGTTATTTAAGTCATTTTCATGCTGTGAGGCTGCCCAGCTCATTCAAAAAGCTGTGTCTCTGGCACCTTTTGGTTCAAACCCTCAGACTCAACAGTAGAAATCAAGGCAGTGTCAGAGTGTATTGGAGCACACAAATCACAAGTAGAGTGGGAGATGGTCAGTGGCTGTGGTAAGTCATCTTTGGAAGCTGTGATTTTAAAGGAAGCTTCAGGAGATGAAGAAGT